TGTCTAACATAGGCGATAGGTATTGGAAAATTATTGTAAATAAAGTACACATAGTTCTTAGTATAAAAAGCCAACACCACCCCAAGGGCAGGGACTGTGCCACAACCCAACCTGCTGGACAGATCTCAGTGGGTCAGAGAAAGAATGGAATAGATAAGAGCAAATAAACAACCTTGAACAGCAGAGCAGAGGAATTTCAACTTCTTCTTCAGTCACAGGGCTGGGAAAAAAGACTTTCTAACACCTTGGGGGTTATTTCAGCCACAGAAACCCAAGACACATACACCCTTACCATACTTGCTGGCTGACGTCCGGGACACCGTGGAGTTGTTGACTGCGTTGTAGGCAGTGACTTGCTTGGAGACCAAAGCCACCACAGATCCATCTGGGACCTGCATTGAAAAAAGGACTGGGTCAATAAACTTCTGAAAAGTGGCTGAAGACCATGCCCAGGGCAGCATGAGCAGCAAATCAGTGTCTCCGTAGGCAGGGCACAGTTTACCTTCCAAGCTTCAATTTCTTGCTTTTTTGAATTGGTCTAGTAATAAAAAGGGACAAAAGCTGCTGTTACACAGCCAGAATCTGCACTTGGACAAAGGGACAAGTGGTGACAAACAGATTCTGCTCCATCCAGGCCCTGATTCAAAGCCCAGTGACGACAGTGTGAGTCACCGAGTCATTTAGGTTGGAAAAGGCCTTTAAGATCATGGAGTTCAACCATTAACTCAGCCCCACTGTGTTCACCACTAAGCCATGTCCCCAAGGGCCACATCCAGAGGCCTTTTAAACACTTCCAGGGGTGGTTTTTGCATTAACCCCAGTAAATCTGACAATAGGTGCATCCCAGGGAAGCTCTTAGGCAGAGAAGGAGCACGAGAATAAAAAAATCATCTGAGCTACTTCAATCAGGCCTGGCTGTTCCATTAGGATGATAAAACTGATGTGAAATGTTCCATTCCTTCCTCCTGGATTGCAGGTGACATCTGGGTGCCTGGCTCAAAAATTCCTGTCTACAATTTTCCACTATGATCCTGTCACCCTCTCACCCATCCCTGTGACAAAGGCACTGCTGGACTGAAGGGACAGCCACAACTTCTTTCTCTTTGTGGTGTCAGAGGGTGGAAAAGCAGCAGGTTTGGAGTGGCTGATGTCCAGGATGTCATGGACAATGTTTTGAGGGACCACAGGACTTTTTTAAAGGAGCCAGGCTTTCTGTTCCTACAACAAGGCAAATCATGTGGGTCCCATGTCAGAAATGTTAACAAGCTCGTGGCTCAAAAGAGCCATATCAGGAACATCTGTGATAAATAAGACATCATAAAGAGGAGATGGGTGAAAAAAATCCCTTCTAACGACATCTAACTCTTGTCTGTGTAATAATAATAATAATAATAATAATTAGCACTTGCATGGAGTTTTTCATCTTCAAAGCACTGCAGAGGCTAATTAAATAGCCCCTCAGCTATCATGGAAGGCAATTATTGGCTCTTTGTAGTTTTAGCCCCACACCACAGATGGGGAAACTGAGGCAAAGGCAATCTCAGTGTCTGTCCCAGCATGATCTGTGTCAGCCTCCAGGACAGCCAGGAAAATGATGTTTCCTGAGGACCTGGCCCAGCTCATCATACAGCTGGGAGCTCATTGCCTGAGGCAAAGAAAACATGGAAAAAGCACAGAGAGGGAAGAAAATTATGCCTGGTTTGTTGATGAAATAAAGCAGGAAACGTCCTTGCTCTCTCTGGGGGAAAAAAAAAAAATCAAATCAAAATCCGCCAGCAATGCTTCAATCAATCTGAAGTAAAAAGTTTTGTTTCCTTTTCAAATTATTGCTTGCTGCCTCCTCAGCTCAGCTCTTAAGTGACAAGAGAAAATAATCTTGTTATGAAACAGAGGTTGCTGAGGTGTGATGGAGGAAATGACAAAATTGTCAGCATCGGATTAAATTTAATGAGGTCTTTTTTATTTGGTGTTTTTTTGCAAGGGAGAAGACTTTGACCAAAACTTCACTTTTTTTCATTAAATCTACCACTTGTGTAAGACATTTCAGACACCTCTAACCCTCTATTATGAATTTCAGGTCATGCAGGGAGGAAGGGAAGCAGAGCAGGTCACCTGGACCAGGTTAAAGATCAAAAAGTTCCTTGTAATAACAACTCCACTGCTCCATGCTCTCCAGCCACGCTGTTTTCCACCTCCCTTTTCCAGTCACCAAGCCTCCCTCTTTCTATTTTTCCTTTTTCTATCCTTCTGAACTCTGCCTGCACTAAAAGGCCATGGATACATTGGGGAAAGAGGCATGGAAGGCCTTGGATTTGTTTGTCTGCATGAGAAATGTTAGCTCATGTTGTCCTCATCTCCTCTTCACCCCCTTCACTCACCAGGGGTGTCCTTTGAGAGGGAAAAAACATTTTTTTCTACCCTTGGCTTCCTCTCTACTGCTGTTGAGGATAACTGGGACAAGGGCAGGAGGGATGTGCTCAGCACGGGGGTTCTGCCCAGTTACTGCCCACTCAACCTCTCTTTACCTCTGCATCTTAGCACAATAAAAACCACAGAATTCTTAAGGTTTGGAAAAGACCTTTAAGATCATTGAGCCCAACTGTTCACCCAGCACTGTCAAAGCTACCACCAACCCACGTCCCCAAGTGCCACATCCACAAGGTTTTGAATGTTCTCAGGAGCGCTGATTCCACCACTTCCCTGGGCAAGAGAAAAAATAATATTTTGCTTTTTGCTTTGGCAGAAAGAAGACCCAACTCCTGCCCACCCTCTCCCACAGATACCTGGTAGTGTGCCAGCGTGTTGAGTCTCTTCCAGTCGTTCTCTATCTTGGTGGTGATATCCTCATCCTGAAGGATCATCCTCGCCCCGCTCGCCTGCCGCCACTCTGCAAGGAGAAACAAACAAACAAATAAACAACCAAATAAATAAATAAATAAACAAACGAGACAGGTGTTGCCCTTTTGCCCACCTGGAAATGAAACTCGAGGCAATTTTAGCAACATTTAGTAATATAAGAGCTGATCTTTATTTGAAGGCCTTCAGGGGCAGTTGTGGAAAGATGTCCAAAAAAGTCCAACGAGTATGATTTTATAGGTTTTAGGTAAAAAGCACCAGTTAGGAGGACAAGTGGTGATGCAATTCCCCCCCAGGTCAAGTCCCTTCTCTGAAGCCCCCTTGGCATTAGCTGTGCTTTGTCCACGAGAATGTAACTCAAAAAGTTGTTCTCAACCTTGGTTCCCAGGAAGAACCAAGGTAGCACTGGGACCCTGCACCTCCTGGGGCTTGGGGCTCTGGGATTTTGTTCTGTCTTTCAGCCTAGGGAAAAGACATGGAAAATTACTGGAAAAACTAGCCATAAATACAACAGACTACCAATATATGTGTGAATTCACAGAATTCACAAAATCCCTGGGTTGGGAGAGACCTTCGAGGCTATGGAGCCTTCAGCAAGCTGGACCATTCTTGGTTGTCACATTTCAGTCACAGTGATCCAGCCAAATACAGCTTAGCCAGAGCCACATCTAAAAGTCCATTCATTAGCAGGAGTTAATTAAAATGAACTCTTGGATTTGGAGACATCACCTGCCACCCTTGTTTGTTTTTCCCAATATAAAAATGCAAGAACTGCTGCAAATTTCTTTTGGTTTCAGCACTTTTCTTATCACATAATTAAAATGCAATGGGAAAGCTGCACTTGCCTTTATTATTCATTGAAATTAGCAGGGAGAGGTCAGCGACTGTGCTTATTGCTGGGTGTTACTTTGGCTGGAGACACTGAGGGTGAGCAGGGGTTGTGTTGGCTGAGCACTGATCCTGAACTGCCCTTCAGCCACTCCAGCTCCTCCTCACATCCTCACCTGCTGGGGTGGCTTTGCATGGGAGGCATTGATGGAAGGGATGGAAAGCTTCCAGCTACCATAAAATTGTACACACTCTTGTGAAAAAACAAATGTTAAAGGTGAATGAAGCTCAGGAACTTTCAGGAGGTACAGATACCACCTATAAGTGAGCATAAGACTAAAGAATAAACCTAACAATAAACAATGTTTCTCAGATTATCAAAAACTGTGAGAATACCATCAAACAAACCAAACAAATAAAAGCCATACAGAATAGCAGACAATATTCCAAATATAAGTATAAAAAAGCCTAATAAATTAACTATATCACACTACCCCAAACACACCAAAGTAAACACTGGGGACTCACAATGTTTATTGTACTCACAATAATAAAAACCACCACAAAATAATTAGAGACTTACCCTACACCTCATGCTATAACCTGTAACACCATCTTAGGTCTTAAAAACCAGTCCTTTAAAAACATAATACCCCTAAAAAAATTGAATCAAACAACAAAACTCATTTCAAAACCAACTTTATTAGCACCCAAACTAAAGAACATGACATTGGGTGTACCATATCCCCTACCATACACCAAATACAAAGTAAAGAAATGCAATAAACTATTAAAAACCACTGTATCTACATCATCCCCGTGGAGTCTGAGGATGATGGTCTCTGCTCATATCCACCTGGGCCAGATCCCTGCCATCCAACTGCTCCCAGACACTGCTTAGAAGAGTAAAAAAATGCTGAAGTTTGGGCTGGGATGGGAAATGGTGCTCTTAGGAAGTGCTCCACTCAAGGCCAAAGCCAATTCTGCTGTCACAGAGTTTCTTGTGTGCCTTTCTCACAGGGTCATGGGGACAGTGTCACTTTGACCTCCCTCCTTCATGGCTCTGCATATTCCTGTTTTCTGCATGTTTTCTGCCCTGGCTCATCTTTGGAGAGACACACACTCGTGTTTTGGGAGGGATGCACAGGTTCTTGAGCACAGCTTTCCCCATCCTGGGCTTTATTTGTATCTCAGGGCTGGGCAAGGTGCTCAGAGCAGATTTCCCTCTGCTCCAGGGACACCCTGAGATGTTTCCCCAAACCTTTTGTGCAGACTCAGGGGATCCCTGAGGCCTTTCCTTGGCCTTCCAGTGAGGAAGAGTCAGGGCCAGCCTGACTGCACAAAACAAGGAGGAAAACCTTCAGGGCTGGCTTGGAGTCTCCAGTTTCAGTTTTGCAGCCTGATTTCCCTCCCCAAAACCTTCAGGGCAGGTTTGGAGTCTCCAGTTTCAGTTTTGCAGCCTGATTTCCCTGCCCTAACACAAATCACTTCACCTCTGATACTTCGCTGAGCCCCTGAGCAATGACAGGGAAATGATGGGGAAAGGAGCCCCAGTTGTCCCCAGCTCTTCCTGGCCTCACGGCTCCCCTTCTCCACGAGCTCAGGGGGTCCCAAACAGACCTCCAAGGGAATGGGGAGGGAGAAGGTGACCCTGCCATCCATCCTCACAGCATTAAGTGTCAGGTCTGTCCTGCTGGCAGCACCCTGTCCCCTCTCTGCTGGGATCCAGCACAAAGGACAGACACACTCCAATCCAATTTGTTACACTCCCACCTTCCAGAGAGAGGGAGGAGAGGGGGAGGGAGGTAAAAATCCCATTAACTTTATCAAGCCTTCCAATCAGGAGCAGTGGTAAATGCAAACTCAGGAGACAGCTGCTGTGAAGCCTTTATATTTCATTCAGCAGATAGTGTATCTTTTTATTGCACGCAGGAATTACTTCTTTGCCTCTTTTTTTTTCTCTTTTTTTCTCCTTTTTTTTTGTTAAGGAACAACCTTTCTGTTCAACTTGACTGGGAAAAAGGAAATTCCAGGGGCCCTTTGGCAGTGAGGTGAAGGCAGCATTGCCTGGCTAGGGGGTGACTCTGTGGCAAGAGGGAGGATGGGGAGATGTCACCCTGCACCTCAAATCCTACAGAAAATGTTATATCTCCCTCTGATCCAGGTCTAGAAAGAGAGGAGAAACTCAGCTCTGTTTCTGGGGTGGAGAAAGGGATGGGAACAAAAGTTTATCTCAGAAAACACGGAGCTGGGAAACAACAGAGAAATATTTCATCCTGTATGGAGTGAATCATAGAATCATAGACTGGTTAGAGTTGAAAGATCTTAAAGATCACCTCATTCCACCCCTGCCATGGCAGGGACACCTTCCACTGTCCCAGGGTGCTCCAAGCACCATCCAGCCTGGCCTTGGACATTCCAGGGATCCAGGGACAGGCCCAGCTTCTCTGAGCACCCTGTGCCAGGGCTTCATCATCCTCAGAGTAAAGAATTTCTGTCTTAAAATCTAATCTGAAACTCCCCTTCTTTTAGTATTAAACCATTTTCCCGTGTCCTGTCACTCCAGGCCCTTGCCCAAAGTCCCTCTCCAGCGCTCTTGGAGCCCCTTTAGGCACTGGAAGTTGTTCTGAAGTCTCTCTGGGGTCTCATCCAGCTCTCCCAACCTGTCTTCAGGAGAGATGAATGCAAACTCTCTGTCTTACTCTATGCATGCTAAATTAGACCCAGTTTAAATGTTTACAGCTTAAATGAACCCACATCCCAGCCCTGAAGGGCTGGTGAGGCAGTGAAATCTCACCTGGCATGGTCCAAAATGAACCTGGGACAGCATCACTGAGGGCAAGCCAAGCCAGCAGCTCCCTCCCTGCGCCTCTGACCTCAGCACCACCTTCCAAAGAGCATCCAGACCCCAGGGAAGAGCAAACACCTCGGCATGAAGCCACATTCCTGTTTTGTGACCCTCTCACCTCACTGCTTTCCCAAAGATGGGGTGTTTCATGTGCGAGAGAGATCTTTTAAAAAATGATAATAACAAAAAACACCACAGTGGAAAGAAGTCATTACTCAGAGGGCTGCAATTTGGGGGTTTGCACTAAAACCTAACCTCAGGGTGTCCAAAATCAAGGCTTTCAGCTGACAACCCCCTCCAGGAGTTGCCTGGGCAACTGCCAAACGTTGTGACATTTGCCACACACACAAGTCCCTCTGCCTGCAGCTACCCTGCATTTAACAGCTCAAAACAACTCATTAGCTTGTTTGCTTTCTGCCATGCGAGCAATCTGGCCTGAGCATGGACAGAAAGCCCAGAAAATGGTGATGGGAGCAGGAAATGATGCTGCTGTTTGAAAGCCACGGGTTCCAAGGCCAGATTGCAGCCATCTGCTCTGCCCTGCTCTGCTCCAGCCCCTGAGCTCAGGGCAGGCTGATCCTGAGAGCTCTGGGATGGTTCCTGAGGGCCAGCAGGGCTTTCTGCACTCCACTTGCTGCCTTCAGGATCTCTGAAGGATGCCAGGTGCCAAGGAGCATAATTTCTTTGAGGAAAAGCTGGATGGAGCTGTGGCTGGGTGTGTGGACCCTCTTGTTTTGTATTTGTGTTCCCCCAGATGAAGGGAGGAATGATGAATCTGACTCCATGTTCTCAGAAAGTATTATATTATATATTATATTATATTATATTATATTATATTATATTATATTATATTATATTATATTATATTATATTATAGAATACTTTACTAAACCATACTAAAGAATACAGAAGGGATACTTACAGAAGGCTAAAAAGATAATAATGAAAACTCATGACTCTTTCCAGAGTCCCAACACAGCTTGGCACTGATTGGCCAAAGAGTGAAAACAACTCACACCAGAATCCAATGAAACAATTGCCTGTGATAAACAATTTCCAAATGCATTCCACATGTGCAAAACACAGGAGAAGCAAATGAGATAAGAATTGTTTTCCTTTTTCTCTGAGGCTTCTCCGCTTCCCAGGAGAGATGTCCTGGGTAAAGGGATTTTTTTCAGAGAATGTGAATGCTACACTCTTGTTCCTGTTTCACCCATGCCCCTCCCACTTTGTTATCTGCATTGCTGCTATCTTCTACTGGATAAGGGCTTTTTATTTATATTTTAATTGTTTTTTCCCCCCAGCTGCCTCATCAATGCTCCCAGAGCTGCCCATTAGCCAGTCTGTCATCACTGTGGGCAAGCCTGTTCTATGAGGGGGTGCACATGCTCATGCCAACTTTCTGGAACTTTCTGCTCCTCAGGAGGTCATAGAATCACAGGCTGGATTGGGTTGGATAGAGAATCACAGTCTAAAATGGGTGGGAAGAGATCTGAAATCTCCAGCCCCTTTCTAGCTTCCGCCACACCAGGTTGCTTCAAGCCCTGTCCAGTCTGGTCTTGAAGAGGTCAATATTTCCTAAACCAGCAGCAATTCTGGATGCAGAATTGTCAGGCCCCAGCTGGGACCCTGCACACACACACTTCTGGTTCCCAGAACCACAGTGGAATCCAGTTAATACCTGTATTTACAGTGTGCAGGTAAAATTCCTGCATCTCATTACAGACACATCCCTCATCCTCACAGCAGAACAAAGAATCCCCAGCCACATCTGGCCTGAGATCTGCAGGAATTGCTCTCTGTGACCACCAGACAGGCCAGGAGATGTGGCTGTGAACCCCATTGCTGTGATGTGCTGTGCCCTGGCACCCTGCCCTGCCTTCCCCCAGGCTCTCCCCACCTCTCAGCACTCCAGAGCCATCGTGGGTCCTTTTATGGATGATGTACGTGATCTGCTCTTTACTGCTGCTGGTTTTGGCAGCTCCTTCCGTTATTCTAACTGCCTTTGATGGGCAATTTCTGTCAGGAACTCCTCCCTCCCCTACACATACACACACTCAGACACTTAACTTCAATCCCTGACCTCTCATTGCTGCCTTCATTATTGCTGTGAATCGTTTCTTGGCCTCGGTCCATTCCTTCACTTTTTGGTTCCTCTACAGCTCAGCTGGTTTTATAGACTCCATCATTTTCCAGCCCAGTCTCTTTCACTGAAGGTCACTGAGAGCAAATTCTGGCAGATTCAGCCACAATGGAGTCCCCAGCTCTCCACCAGACACCTCAGCAACGGCCTGAGCAGATTTTTCTACGATTTTTCATATCCTTAAAATTTTTCAACATTTTTTTTCATATTCTCCAGATGTGGTGCCACATCTGCCTGTGGACCCCAAATTCAGACTACAAACAGCATTCTCTCTCCAGGTTTCTTTTTTCCAGGGGTCTTTGGCAAGAGAAAAGAACAGCCCCACTCATGCTTTTTCCAGACATTTGTCCAGGATGAATTCTATGGGCAAAAAAGCATGGCACTGGTCTTTCTATGGCCAAAGATTTCCTAAGCCAGGAGCATAAACATCACCAAAATGTCCCCTCTGCCCTCTCACTGTGAATTCTCTGTCTTGTAGGGGGTGTGGAGAGGAGCACTCGGTGTTCTTTAAAATGATCTGAGCTGCCCTGCCTGGCCAGCAGCTGGGGCAGAAGACCCCAAAATCTCCTGAAGGTGCTGAGCAGTGTCCCCACACCAGCACCCAGCTGGAAGGTGACAATGGTTACTTGATCTGGGTTATCCTGGAATTGCACAGGGATACATCAGCTTTAGAAGGTGCCAGGAAAACTGTGCCTGAGTGAACCACACTCAATCCCACCCTGTAGGGGTATACAGTGTGGGTAAGTGAAGGTGGCATAGAATGTAATCTTATCCCCCAACAAGTTGCAGCTGGACCAATTACTAAAGATCAGGAGCAGGCCTGATGTTAACAGGCCACAGCTGTAGCCAGTAAGAACAGTGTTATAAAAGAGTGGATTGGTGGGAACTGGAGTCAGATGGCTGCTGCCAGGACCAGGAACAGCTAATGCTTAGAGGAGATGCCTGCGAGAAACATTGAGGAGGCACAAAACTCTGGCAGTATGGAATCCTTACTCTATAACGATAATAGAACTCTTGATATATAAGACAACACCACCCTGGCTGCAGTAACCCTTGCTTCCTTCTTTTCCAGCTCAGCTGAAAGAAGGAGCAGGGCAGGCAATTCTTCCAAGGGCTGTTCTTGTGCTCCAAGCACAGATGGGGCAGTTGGTAACCCCTGAAAACCCCAAAACACATCTTTGCTCTTTGTCCAGAGCAAAGTCTCTGGATGGAGTTTGTCCATCTCCCAGCTCCCCTGTCCCCCCCTGGCCAGCAGCAATCTCCTACCCAGGTCCATGTCAGCAGCTTTGGGCCGGTGGGAGCAGGGCACGTTCTTGAAGATGGCATCCAGGATCTTCTCCTTGACCTGGGTGATGGTGTCGCAGTTGAGGATCTTCACCGGGATCTCGGGGCTGTTCACGTTGTCGGGGTTCACGCAGCTCAGCACCTGAGGAGAGGCACCACACCTTGCACGGGCACTCAAACCCTCTGCCTGTCCCCCCTTGAGATGTCTGCATCCTACAGGAGGGGTCTAGGGCACAGAAAATTGTTGTATTTATGGGGTGCTTCATCATTGGAATGATGGGGTGCCCCATCTGACTCCATGTTCTTAGAAGGCTAATTTATTATTTTATGATACTGTTACCATAGTTTTTTTTAAGATTTTCTAAGCCTTCTGATGTTGACGTTCTTGTAGTGAACTTTCTCACACACTTTCTGTAAATAACACATTGTTTTTCATTCCTCTATGGAAGAGGAGAAAGTTGATGGACTGCTGGTTTGACCAGTGTCATTGGAGAGGTGGCACTGTCACCCTCCAATCCACTGACACGTTTAGAAAACTATAAATGTTAGAGTCAGAAAATAAACTACCTTTTTCCTTCACCTTGAGAACAGTGGTGTGAGCCTGTGTTCTTTCATGTCCTATAGTGACATGATATTAGAATATATTAAAGAATACTAAACTATACTAAAGAATACTAAAAGGATACAGACAGAAGGCTAGAAAGATACCGAAGAAAAACTCGTGACTCTTTCCAGAGCCTCAACACAGCTTGGCTCTGATTGGTCAATGTCTCAAAATAATTCACATGAAACCAATGAAACAATCACCTGTTGGATAAACAATCTCCAAACACATTCCAATGCAACAAAACACAAGAGAAGCAAATGAGATAATATTGTTTTCCTTTTTCTCTGAAGCTTCTCAGCTTCCCAGGAGAAAATCCTGGACAAAGGGATTTTTCCAGAAAATGTGACTGCCACAAAAAATGGGAACCGAGGGTATTTCCTCCCTCACATGGGCACAGAGATGTGGTCTCACCTCTCATTTAATCATGGAGTCACAGAAGGGTTTGGGTTGCAGGGGTCTCAATAATCACCTCATTCCACCCCCTGCCATGAGCAGGGACAACTTCCATTGTCCCAGGTTGCTCCAAGCCCCTCCAGTCTGGCCTTAGACATTTCCAGGGATCCAGGGGCAGCCACAGCTTCTCTGGGCACCTCTAACCCTCACCACCCTCACAGGGAAGAATTTCTTTCTTAACAGCAGAAAACCCATGAAGACCAGCTGAGTGCTTTCAGTAAAAAATGTTCATTGAGATGCCAAGGTGACCTAATTCAGGAGTGGCCTCCTTGCATTGCCACCTGGTTTTGATAATCCCAGTGAAAAGCTTTATGTTTGTCCATCAGCACAGCCATGGAGCTGAGCAAACCCTCCTCAGAAGAATGTTATTAATCTGAAATGCAGGGCTCCTTAAGAAATGGAACACAAGGCAACATCAGCAGCCTTTGCTTTCACATACAGAAGAAGAAAATCAACCCAACTGGAGAGGCCTCTCTTTTCTCAGAAGGAAAATTTAATTTTCTCCGCTCTGTCCAAGAGTAAATGCAAAGCATGTGGTGAGGGGGGGATACCTTAAACACAGAGCATTTAACAGCAATCTCACTGCTAAGCCTTGCCTGTGTCTCTGTTGATCATTGTTCATTTCTGATGGCACAAGTGTGAAGCCTATAAAGTTTTATAAACTTAGCACACCTTTGCACTTGAAAGGGGTGTTCAGTGATGCTCCAGGCTGTACATGGACATTAAAATGTTCCTGTGGCACTTTTACAAGCACAGAGATGTTGGTTTTGGTGCCTCAGACAAATTTTAACTTGACCTAAATTCCCTTCCATAGCATGCAAGAGGTGCTGGACTGTCCATCACTTTCCATCTTCACCTCCTAAAATGCAGTGGGAACTCAAAAATGGGGTGAAATCCTATCAGCCTAATTACACACTGCCTCACCAGGCTCCCTTTGGTGATGTTGTGCTCAGCCAAGAGGGACTTGTGAAGATACTGCTTACAAAGAGCTCTGTGATCTTGCTGGATGAAAGGGGAGATGTAAATAGGAGATATTGATTAGATCATAATGCTATTATTTGTATGTCACTTCCAGAAGTATTGAAAAAGCATCAATTCAGATCATAATAACAGCACAGATTTACAGTTCTGGGGCACCTTTCATCTCAAAGGATCACAGAATTGTACACAAAATGTTGAAATGAGTCCAGTGTTGAAGGCCATTAGTTGGTCTGCAGCTCTCCTGGGTTATGCCCATTCCCAGCCCACAGAAACCTCTTCCTCTGCAAACTTCTTGGGTGCATCCAGAAAATCCCACCTGAGTGCTGAGGGCCTGCACTGGTGTTTAGTTTATGATCTTAAAGATGTTTTCCAGCCTAAATTATTCTATCACAGGGAAATGGAGCACTGATGGCAGCCTGGGACAGCTCTTTGGGGTCACACCTGGCTATGGGGACCAAGTTTCTCTCCAGGTTTCTCTCTCAGTGGTCTGAGCTCAGCTAAAATGAGCTGGTGCCAGTCAGGGCAGGCTCTGTGGTGTGATAATCTCTGACACAAACAGCTGGATTTTGGGTCAGTTCCCCACAGAAAGCACTTGGTGTTCTTTAAAATGATCTGAGCTGCCCTGCCAGACCAGCAGCTGGGGCAGAAGACCCCAAAATCTCCTGAAGGTGCTGAGCAGTGTCCCCCCACCAGCACCCAGCTGGAAGGTGACAATGGTTGCTTGATCTGGGTTATCCTGGAATTTCACAGGGATACTTCAGAAGGTGTCAGGAAAACTCTGCCTGAGTGAACCACACTCAGTCCCAGCCTGGCTGCAGAAATCCTTGCTTCCCTCTTTCCCAGCTCAGCTGGAAGAAGGAACAGGGCAGGCAATTCTTCCAAGGGCTGTTCTTGTGCTCCAAGCACAGATGGGGCAGTAGTGACCCCTGAAAACCCCAAAACACCTCTGTGTTCATTACAATGACTGTCAAGGCTGTCCCTCCATTTTAGGGAATTCAAACCCCAGTTAAGGAAGCCAACCCCACTCCCAGAGCACAGTGGCTTTGGCATATATTCCCCGGGTTTTACATCATCAGTCCAGTTGAGTTTTCCAGCTGTTCTCGAGTGGAGCATGAAACGTTTCTCCATACCCATACAAACCAAGCCAGAAACAAATCCCACTGTTCCAGCAGTGCTGTTCAGAGACTTCAATACAATCTCTGATGTCACCTGGTGGGCAAGAGACCCCATGATGGGTTGTGTTCCTACAGGACTGGTCACACTGAGGGAGGTTTTGTGGTTTGTGGATCTCCCAAATGCAATGTTGCTGCTCTATCACACACCAGCTTCATTTGGGTTTTAGGGTCACTCAAGGATGTGACTGTTTGGGCACTGAGAGGACACCAGCACTGTTCTGTCACTCTGTGTCCCATCAGGATGTGGGGTCAGCATGCATGGGAATGGGAGAGGGAGCACATGGAGAAGTTATATCTGAGCTCTGCTCTCCCACTGACTCTGTGTGGCCTTGGGACATCTCATTTCTCTGGATTTCTGTTTATTGACCTTTTACTCCATCCTTGGGCTTTTTTATTTTTTATCTGCCAGCTCTTCCAGCCATGATCTGTCTCTGAGTGTCTGTGCACATGCAAAGCTTGGCTCAGCAAAGCCCTGATTTCCACTGCAGATTAGTGGCGTTTAAATAATAAAGGCACAGCTTGTGACTACTCCCATGGTAAGCAAGTAATCCAAGGTGGCAGGGACACCTTCCACTATCCCAGGGTGCTCCAAACCCCATCCAACCTGGCCTGGGACATTCCCAGGGATCCAGGGGCAGCCACAGCTTCTCTGGGCACCCTGTACCCAGGGCCTCCCCATCTTACAGGCTAGAATTTTTTTCCCTAATTTCTAATCTAAACCTACTCTCTTTCAGTTTGAAGTCATTCCCTCTTGTCTTGTCACTCCAGGCCTCTGTAAATATTCTCTCTCCATTTTTCTGTTGGAATTCCCATATTGCAACCAGGGAATCAGTTCTGGCTTTATTTCATTACTCTATATTTTTAATAAAATATGTCAGGCAGCTCAAGGAAGGTAGAAGAAGGACGAAATAAAACAGAAATAAAGAGAAACAGAAACGAAGAACAATCCTATTCATATTCTGCTCCTTCCTAATCTCCTTCACCAGAGCTGATCTCTGTAAATCTGTTGAGATTCCTATCGGGGTATATTTGTCTGCTCTTGAGATGTAAGAGGGAGAGCTGATTATCATCAAACAGCACAAAGCCAGCAGAGAAGAGCTTTGTTCAGCCTGATGTATAATTACTACCCTTTGCTGGCTGCTTCAGATCAAGCCTAAAAGGATCGGGGGGATTTCCTTGGGTGAAAGTGATCGCTCTGTGGCTGCATTTTTCTCTCTTTTCTGCTCATTTTCTCCATGTGTGATCAGTCTTCTGAAATTTTAGACAGCCACACATAACAGCAGAGAAGCAGCACTCTGCCAGCTCAGTAGGAAAGTCACGTTTTTAATATGCAGAATACAACTGTGGCCTTATTTAAGAATTAAGTCCACCCCCTCATCAGGCTTGGATTCAATCAAAGCTCAGCTCTAGACTGGAGTTGAAGAACATGAGAGGGCATTTCTAGCATCAGCCTGCCTGGGGTAAAGTCTAAGACAGGTCTAAGACAGGTTAAGGTCTAAGACTTGGAACTAAATTATCTTTAGGGTCCCCTCCCAAACCATCCCATGATTCTGTGATTGGACACAGCCCTCAGAGGTATCTGGAGCTAAGTGAGATGAATTTCCCTCATTTGAAAGTGCAAATAAAATAATCTGATCAGTTTAGAACATCTTCCGACTGTCCTGAAACTTGGGATTTGCTGAGAATAAAGATGGGAAATAGAAAAATTACAAGGATCACTGAAGGCTTAAAAAGTGTTCTTCATCCAGCAGAGACTTAGAGTGGATTTAATGCATCCAGGGAAGAATGAAGGCCCACAAACACTATAAGAAGAGATATCTAATGCTCTTTAATTGATGCTCTTTAATCAAGTGGGAAGAGGGTGCAATCTCAGAGCAGAAGCTAAAGCTGCACATATGCAATGTGCATCTTACCCTATGCAGACAATTCCATTTTGGGAGAATTGGCTCAGTGACAGGGATTGGTTTTCTCTCCCTTGAAATCTTTAAATCAAGCTCCTTTTTCTTTGACTTGTGCTCTCTCAGGAGGGAGGGTTGCACCAGCTCTAGAGCAACCCTCTGACCCGATAGGTCTATCTACAATCTCTGACTATTCCTTGATGCTGAAATCCTCATAATTTTAAAATGTTCACAGCCATCCTTAGGCAGCATTACCCTACAAAAACACAAGAATACATCACCCCAGAGGTTCAACCACTGGTTTCTGCTGTCTAAAGGCCCTTTAGGCATTGGAAGGTTGTGGATCAGCCCAGGGGAAGGCGTGCTCAGAGCACTCACCAGGGTCTTGTAGTCAATCTGCTGCCGGATGAGCTTGTCCTCGCTCAGCGAGTACCGTGCCTCGCCCGTGATGGAGTCGATGGGGCCCTTCTCCATCTGCTGCTTGATGGCACAGAAAAGGGAGAAGAGAGGCTCTCCAGCACACTCCTGCAGGGATGAGAGGCAACCATGAGGTGAAACTACAGGCTGGAATTGAAAGTCCAGCCTGGGAATCTCAGTGACATCTTGGTTCGCCATCCCAGATCGCTCATGGTGGATATGAATGGAAACCAGTCCATTCCAACAACACAGGATCAGAGGTGACCCTCAGCTTCCACAGAGTGCAACCAGCATGGTGGGACCCTTAGGGATGGTCCT